AACGTCTCTGATTAAGCGATTGAGGTGTTTTGTTGTTGGATGTAATAATGAACATAGCAGTCATCATTTACTCCCGACATCTGAGCCGCTGAAGACGCAGAGGATTACCGTTACTTTCGTTTTGAAGGGAATGCGCCGATCCCGATCTGCCTAAATGCGTCTATATTCGCGCGAATCATTCGCGATCCAGCTTCATCAACAGAAGAAGATGAGTATAAGGGTTTTTTATGAATCTTTGCAAATCGTCTTTCCTAATAACGTGCAAGTTAGCCAGTTTCGCAGCTGAAGTATACAGTCTGCTCGTCACCCCACGGAAGAGAGGGGCGGGGTGAGCACGACTCATTAATATTTAAAGCAACATGGACTAGAATGGCTTGCTGAAAACAGAGCTGATTTTGACAGGGTAAAAAAGGTGTTTTTTACACTACCATTGAGAAATTTGAACCAAAGTACGTTATAGACTTTTCATTAAGACCGTAAAGAATCATATAAACTTGTGGAAAATGGGCATCCGATGACCCTTTTAACTAGGAATTCTGAGACAAAAGTCACAATTGCAAGATATAAACTCAGAATTACAATATGTAAACTTGTAATACTGAGAAAAAAAAGTCAGAATTCTCTGTTTATATCTCACAATTCTGACTTTTTTAAACAGAAGAGAAAAAAATTGTGAGATAAAATATTGCAATTACATTTTTAAATTGTTTTATTACAAGGTGGAAACAGGCTTCCAAATAGACAAAATACAATTCATTGTATAACACAGTTAAGATCAGTTATTTGGTGCTTGCTTAAAAGTACTAAAAGCCAGTTAATGAAATCATTATGAAAGCAGAATCATTAAGTTGAATCAGAAACAAATAATTAAATTCATGCCGATTCCCATCACTAATCCCAATGCTGCGTGGAGGAGCAATAAACCCCTGCGAGGAACAAAGAGATGAGATCACTTGCCATACAGCACATGTCACAATGATGAGAACAACATGAGAACATTAGCTGTTTCACTGAAGCACCGGAGAAAATGTGTGTAACTCCTTCCATAATGCAGCTATTATGCAGTAAAATTATAAGTATATGCTCACATAAGAACACTGACCTCCTAAAAATAACCTCATGAGAGGCAGGAAATGAATCGAGAGAGGAATAATAGTGTGGTCATTGCATGGCATCAACCTACAAACTCTCTTCAATAATTCACCAGTTCAATCCCCCCCCCATCGCATTAACAACGTCCGTCTAAACATTCCCTGCATCCTCCACTCTCTCACCCTCTCCAAACCCCCTTACATCCAGATAAAAGTCTTTCTCTCTGGCTTTTCTTCTCCCTTGTTTTGTAGGGGAGGGTTTGGCAGTGTCTTACTAATAAAAGGGTCATATCATGAGGAATTGAGTTTTGCTTGATCTGTTGAGATAAAAGTGTTCATTAGACTATGAAAACATACAGTAACTTTCAGAACTCAAAACACGTCCACTCTAGTCCAAAAAGAGCATCTATTGAAACTGAGCTGCAAAAATGACTTGTTCTGAAACTCTGAACTTCCTGTTGTCAGCTGGATACGTAAATATGACCTCCCACACTTACAAACCAACAACACTTATTTGGTGTTAAAGGGGTCATATGATGCTGCTAAAAAGAACATTATTTTGTGTATTTGGTGTAATGAAATGTGTTTATGTGGTTTAAGGTTAAAAAAACACATAATTTTCCACATACTGTACATTATTGTTTCTCCTCTATGCCCCGCCTTTCTGAAAATTTTTTACAAAGCTAATCGGTCTGAAAAACGAGGTGTGCTCTGATTGGCCAGCTATCCAGTGCGTTATGATTGGCCGAATACCTCAAGCGTATAAGGAGGAAGTAGGATATATAGGCCTACTTTTGTTCCTAAAAAGCAGAAGAACTAGCGGTACGAGTACAATGTGAAGTCAGTCAAACCTTGTGCTGTTTCTGGCTGTGTGTAGCACCTACAGCTCTGCAGATCCCACTGAAGAATGCCAGCAATAAAAACATGCATTTAAGTTTTTTTTTAACGAGGTCCCTGATCATTTCAGTCCAAAATCAACAGTTTGAGCAACATATTTCAGTATAGATTGTTTTGTGAATCTGTCAAGAATGTGGCAGATAAAAGTTGTTCATTTAAAAGTATATATATATATATATATAGAAGTTTTAAAAGACACAGTAGCAAAAAATGGCCCTTTTATTTTTAAGGCTCAGATAGAGGGTGAAATAAAAAAGAATATGAAGACTAATATTATGATTAGTTTTAAAATAAATAATTTAACCATAAAAAATGTTACTACTAAATAAACATTAACTTAAAATTAAAATAAAATATAAAAAAACATAAACTTATGTTTCTTTCAGCTAGATAACAATGTGACATTTCTCTTTTTCATTTAGTTTAATTTGAAGTACTAAAACTAAACAAACTAAAAACTAAAACTTACTACAAACTATATAGATATATTTACAAAACTACAAAAAAGAGACAAAACACAACAAATTACTAAAACATTACAATGAAAACAGAATATTTAAAAATAAGATCTAATTCAAACTACTAAAAAAAAAACTATAGTAGTATATCAACGAAAATAACACTGATTCTGTAAAAATATCCACTATACTATATAATAAAGACAACATAATATAACATAAAAGCAAAAATAAAATAAAATGTTTGTCAAATCAGTGCAAATGCCTCTCCCTCTAATCAAAATGTCCTGTTTCAAGAGGACAGGAAAGAAAACAGAAATGTTAACAGCATCGTGCTGAAATCCAATGTTGGAGAGGATGTTATAATAACCATGTGACAAGCAGGGGCCCAAATCAGCTGATGCATAAACAAAAATATCACTGAATTCCATATTCTCAATACCCAACCACCCTCTTAAAGTCCATTCAAGTGAGGATAAGACTTGAGTCAATTTAACATCCTGTTGTCTCCTAACATGTGACTAAAGAGGCATGTGAGCGAGCCAAACCCTGCAGCTATTTCCATTAACAGAGGAACAAACTACTACAAATATTCAATATCACATCTGCACCATTCCAGCTGTATTTTTCCTTAAATAGCGCTGCTTTCCATTTTCATCTTTCTTCTATAACGCACTGGACCTCTCTCAGTAGAACTCGCCAAGCCCTTGGAAGCACTGTTATTCGCTTCAAAAAGTTAATGACAAGGCTAAACGCAGAAGATTTTCCGCCAAGTGGCCGTCAGTTCGAGCATAAAAAGCACTAGAAGTCTTTTCCCCCCAACTCTCTCTCAGACTTTCTCAGCCAACATCAGATCTACCCCTCTGTAACAAATCCAGTGTATGGGAGCCTTTACATGAACAATGACTTCATATGTTGAACTAAAGCCTTAATAAATAACACACCCTACAAAGTTTAACAGAATGACTTCTTTGGGTTTCAATACAGCGTGCCGTGGTTGTGTTTAAAGCCCTGGCGAGAACAAAGACATTTTAATCAGGGTATTCAAATCCCTGCAGGCCGTCCGATTCGAGCAGAACCCCTTATGTTAAACTTTCAGAGACAAGAATGTGGTTTTTGAGCAGAAAACAGTTTTCAAGTAATCAAAGAAACCCAAGGACATCCATTAAAGTCAAAGAGAGCCATTTACTCAATTGTATTACTCACTGTCAGTTTGTTCGCCCATCTCGTCAAATGTTACTATGTAAACAGCTCTACCGTCTTTTACAAAGTAGCATTCAATACCCCAGCATTTTTCCAACAGGAATTGGAGCATGTAAACTGGAGCCTCTCTTTTTCACTGGCAGCATCTATGGAAAAGCGAACTGCACGCAAACCCACTGTGTTGTTTGAATATGCCGTTCAAACACAAACACTGAAGTATTTAAAAACCATTTAAAGACCGAATGCTTCACTTATAGAATATTTCTTGTTTTGTCAAGTATGTACTGTAATAAAACACTGATGTGAAGGCCTTGATATGTTAGTGAATAGAATACTATTGAGTTTCATTTCACGTACAGGAATGGCATTGAAGTCATAGTTCTATAGAAATGAAAGACATTGTACAAGAGCCTTAAGACTTACAAACTGCATGTCTGTGTGTTTGTTTACTATATATTATGGATAATTTGATTACCATTTCAGTTACCAGAACAAATACTGTACTCCCAGTACAGCTCCATTTAACATATTTTAATATATTTCAATCCAATCTCACTGATTTATCCCAAAAGTCAGTGCAGAAAATACAGAAAATGTACATTTTGTTTGGGCCTGCTTTAAAGGGATTGTTCACCCACAAATGAAAATTCTGTCATCATTTACTCGCCCTCAAGTTGTCCCAAAGTTTCTTTGTTCTGTTGCACACAAGAAGATATTTTGAAGAATGCTGGTAACCAAACAGTTGACGGTAGCCATTGACTTCCATAGTATGGAAAAAAACTACTATTCAAGTCAACAGCTACCAGCAACTGTTTGGTTACCAACATTCTTCAAAATCTCTTCTTTTGTGCGCAACAGAAGAAAGAAACTCATACAGGCTTGAAAAGACATGAGAGTGAATAAATGATGACAGTATTGTCATTTTTGGGTGAAGTGTCTCTTTAAAATGCGGCAGGATGATTTACTAGTCATTCAATGACCATAAATAAATGTACTGTAAATACTGTTCCCTCCTGGTGGAATGACCTGCCCAAATCAATCCGAGCAGCTGAGTCCTTAACCATCTTCAAGAAACGACTAAAAACACATCTGTTCCACCTTTATTTGACCCTCTAACTCTAGCACTTTTGTTGTAAAGCAGAAATTAATAAAAAATTACTTCTGCAATTTGGTTATCAAACAATTACTGTAAACATTAAAATAATCTATACCGCTACTAGTCATAAAAATGCAATATCGGTCAATTTCTACCTGAAAGATCAAAATGACGCACAAAAACATGATATGCTTGCGTTGACGTACTTGCGTAGAGTTTGTTTCAGACCCAAGATCACACAGTTTTTTATCAAATCTACTTACCGAACTCATCACATACGCTCTCATTCTCCACCAGCGTGGGGTGCTCGAAAGTGTCCCTGCAGTACAGGATCTGGGTGTTGTTGGTGAGGGAGGCGATTCCCCCCAGGGCCAGCACCACATGGTCCGTCAGGAAGGAAGTAGGCCGCTCACGAAGCCGCGCAATGATGGAACGGTACCGACAGTACTGGGGGTAACTCAGTACCAGAACCTTCTTCTCCTCCACATCTTCACCTAAACACAAGAAAGTAGGATTCATTTTTTAAAAGTGAACATTGACATTTCAGGCACACAGAAAGGAACTCAAAATAATGTTTTATTAGCTTTTGCCTGTATTACACTGAAAAAAATGGAAGCAACTTTGAAGCAATTTTCACTTAGAAATTGCTAGTAAATTTCACAAATAACCAAGGCCGTAACCATGTCTTTAACATTGTGGGGGACCAATTTATTTATTTATAAAGCATAAAGAAATAGAACAGTGAAGGAAATTATAGGTCTAATTCTAGTTGGAAAGTAATCATTTTCAACCATTTGCAAATAATAATTTGAAAAACGCACACATGCATATTACTTGTATGCCTCTTGTCTCCTCACATTCAGTAAGGAATTACATGAATCACAGAAATGATACCACATTCCAAATTCCAAACGGCCATATCTTGGAAACAGTTGAGTGGTTTGCATCACTGGATCTTAATGTTGGTCAATTAACATTTCTACTGTAAAACAACATTTTCAAATAATAAATGTCTTGCTACTACCATTTTACCTAGCGCTCTTTCAATGTTAAAAATAATGCTTCGCACTGGAATTCGCACTCTGCTTCAGTGAACAGTAAACCCCGCCTACTTTGGTTTGATTGGCCATCTCAATCATTTTGACATTGACGGGCGCTGTTAGACCGCTGAGGCAGACCAGCCTAAAAATGTAACTTGTAAACATTTGAGAAACCTAAACAGACAATTTGGCCATTTCTAATTACTGGGTGGGACTTGTCCCCCTCATTGTCTATGGTGGTTACTGCCCTGAAAGTAAAGGTGCGTTCACGCCATATCAGAATTCCCGTAATTACGAGATTCCAACTTGTAAAATGCGTTCACATCCTCGTAGAACTCGAAATTCCAACTTGTGAACTGGGAGTTTTCTGAGAGCTATGACTTGTACCACGTGACTGCTGTACCACCTGAACACCGCAGGCTCTGTTTAGGCGTTGGTAGTGTTGCCATAGACAAGCATAATTCCGAGTCTGAGGACGTGAACAGCTCCGAGTAGAACGTCACGTGCTGTCATCTCGAAATTATGGTAATTACGATATGGCGTGAACGCAGCATAACACTGAATTAAACAGGACATTTTGAAATATAAAGACTGAAATAGTATTTTCTTGTAAAACATACTCCAATAATATATTTACAAATTCGAAAAAAAAAAATCATTCTTTACTGTGCAGGAAAATGAAGGACTGAAAGTAAAGTAAAAAAGAATTGAGATTCGAACCCAGGTCTTTCTGAGCACAACAGCTCCCTTATGATGATATTTCACTGCTAAGTGGTGCTTTAAACATAGATTATCAGACGAATGTTTCAAAGCACATTTTCAGGTTTTGCAGTAAACCTTGCACTGCTAATGGGTTAGGTTTGACGATTGCAGTAGGCTGAGAATCTAAGAAAAACACTAGTTAAAATTTTAAATTTCAAATTTAGTACACTGTAAAAAACATTTTTTGTAAATAAAGTTGTAAATAAAACAGATTATTGGAATGTATTTTACAAAAAATAACATTACAGTCTTTCTACTTTAGCATTTCATGCTTAATTCAATGTGTTTAACAGGTGTACAGTATTATTGACACCATTGATTCCTATATAATTCTTGCCATGAAATAATAACGGTGGTTATGGTCCTCTCACACCATCATTTCATGACATCAACACAATCCAACTTGTTTATTTCATTGTATGAATGTAATAAATGTAATAATTCATTGACAATGTTTGACATCATTTGATGAGTCAGAATGCTACACAATGGTGTACATTACAAATAGACCATTGATGAATCCTACTGTCTCTAATATTAGCTTCGCAGTAATGATAATTCAATCCAAATCGAAGCGCTGTGACTTCATATAGCTAATCTTATTCTATAATGGAGGATCATGGAGGAGAGCGGCTCCCAGGGGTTCGGATATAGATTTGTGGGCTATTATGTTTTACTACAGCCTGAGCTGCTGGTTAAACATGACGGCTCTCTGTTAGGATTGGCAATATAAAAGATTCTGGGCAGGAAGCCACGTCACTCAGTTCTTGGAGATCAGAGATCTGAGCAATAGCATTCGCCTGTTAGTCTTCCCATCAGAACTCGAAAATCATTTGTTAAGTATTAAAATAACTAAAACTATAAACATAAAAAACTAATAAAAATGACAAAAACGCAACAAAATTACTACACTTTTAAAATGAAAATGAAAACAGAAAATACAAAAATAAAATATAATTCAAAACATTTACAAAAACTATAATATTATATCAATTATGCTAAAAATAATACTGCTGCAGACCAAAAAATCCATTAAAATAGGGCACAATGTACTGTATTAATATAAAAGAATTTTTTTCTATATTGATTTTTACAGGTGTTTTACCTGTATTTAGAATTTTGCACTGCATTGCATTGTGTTTCAGGGTTAACTGAAATGTCTGTAAAATTAATGGATGTCTTGGCCTTTTATTTTATTTTATTTTTTTATGGTGCAGGATTATTATAGTTAACTAAAAGTAAAACTGAAAATTAAAACAATTAAAAACATTTAAATAAAAGGCTACACAAACTATACACTGAAATAAGATAAAACATATTTTTTTATATTTTTAAATAAAATATTTCAAAAAAATTCAGCTACAGTCCTCATTTTAATTTTATCTTATACTAAAAAAATTAAAACGGAAATAAAAATGAATAAACTATATAGACATGTATTTAAAAAAAAAAAACTAAACATACTCCATACTAAACATACTACAAATGACAAAAAAACGCAACAATTACTCAAACTTTAACTAAAATGAAAATGAAAATGGAAAAAATAGAAATAAAAACTGATTCAAAATATTACTAAAAACTATTATTGAACCTCAATGATACTAAAACAACACTGCCAATGTCCACTGACTGAACTGCTGCTAATACGCATAACACATACGCTTCAGAAGTTTCGCTAAATGGGCCGGTGAATTCCCAGAAAGTCAAACACAGGTCTTGAGATACATTCCTGTACATCTCCACCCTCCAAAACAACCCTTACCCAACATATTTCAAAGTATCATCGCATCTCTCGACCTCAAAAACCTGACAACTCGGAATACAAGCTCTCGTAATATGACATGCGAGTCGCAAACCTCAAACGATGGCGTCCTTGGAGAGAACTAGCTTTATTCACACACAACGGCCGCAAATATTCTGCTGCTGAGAGCCATAAACAAGTTTTTTACATGTAATTTTTGCACCGTTTCCTTCTTGGTGGAGAAGAAAAAATGTTCAAATTTTTTTACACAAATTTTAGTGCTAACCGTATTATATATACTACCATTTACTATACTACACTACCATTTAAAAGTTTGGGGTTGGTCATTTTTATTTATTTTTTTGTTAGTTTTTTTTTTTTATATGCATACCATTTATTTGATCAAAAATACAGTAGTATTGTGAAATATTATTACGATATCATTCATATCACATGATCCTGCAGAAATCTTTCTACTATGCTGATTTGGTGCTCAAGAAATATTTCTTATTACTATCGATGTTGAAAACTGTTGTGCTGCTTAATATTTTTGAGGTTTTTGATTCTTTTATGAATAGAAAGTTCCAAACAGTATCTATTTTAAATAGTAATCTTTTGTAACATTATAAATATTTTTTACTGTCACTTTTAATCAATTTAATGCGTCTTTACTGAATCAAAGTATCGATTTATTAAAAAAAAAAAATACTGACCCCCCCCAACATTTGAACGATATTGTGTATATGTGACCCTGGACCACAACACCAGTCATAAGGGTAAATTTTTCTAAATTGAGATTTATACATCATCTGAATGCTGAATAAATAAGCTTTCCATAAAGACACAAGGAAAAAAATAAAGATAGATTCCTGGAATCCTGACAGCAGCTGCTTGTTAGTTGTCCTGGTTTCTGTATTAAAATAAGCATGCGTTGATGCTAAAGTTATTGGTGTGTGTTATTAGTGCTCTCTGCACCACAGACCACAATAATGAAAGGAAAATGTGTGTCATCGCCACGGCAACTGTTTTAATGCAAGACTCCCCGTCAATAATAGTTAACAAAATTGCACTTAAACCCACAAATCAATTTCCTGTGTGTGTGTGTGTGCTTCAAGTTGAAGTGATGAGTGCGTGTGTGTGCAGAGATTGGAAATTTTAAATGCATGTCTTATTAGAGTTGATTTCAGCATAATCAGTCTTTCCCTAATTATTATTCACAGCCGCGACCTCTAATGAGTCAAATAACATCCATCTATTAATGTTGCGGGCTGCTGAGATTCTGCGACCCTGTTGGTTCTGATACTTCAATATGCCTGATGTGAGAGCCAGAAAAGATTACAACATACACTACCCGAGTAATATCGATCGTCATGTTGTAAATACAGAAAAACAATGTACAGAAATATCTGGAGGTGTAAAGGACAAAAGAAGGGCTGCAATGAAAAATAAAAATAATAGTGACAATGAAAAAGAAATAATTTTTAAATGAATTTCCCCCCAATCACTTTCCTCATATACCCCAGCGACTTAAGACTGGTTTTGTGCTCAAGGGTCACATATTTATTTTTATATGCATTGTTGTGTTTTTTATATATAATGTTTGTAATCTTTTAAATAGTATTTATTTTTTTAAAGTTATATGCTCATTTTCATTTAAAATAACAAAACTTCACAAATCAGGGTTTTAAACTGTATTTAGACATTCCCAATTTTTGTAACAGCCTTTTATTTTATTAAAAAGTAAATATAATATTTAGTCTGACCTCCTGAGCGCCATGAATAATATATTTTTGAAGGTTAAGCACCTCCTTTCACTAACAATCTGTTACAAAGAAAAAACAAACAATTGGACTTAATTTGTTAACAGTTTCGAGTCCCATTTAAAACCCACAGTATTCCCCTCTTTTACTTGCAATTAGCACTAAATATCTGTCTTTTAAGGGCTGCA